AGTTAATAGCCTTAGCAAACAAGCCAGACCCTACTCTATTTAAATTTAATATAGCTTAATATGTAATTTTCAATGAGGAACAACAATGAAATGGCTGGCATATAAAAACTTTCAGGACAATAAGAAAACCTTTCAACTTAGTCTACTTTGGTGGAACAGAGACCGCAACTTCTTGGCCTGGTTACATGAATGGTGCAGTACAAGCAGGAGAGAGAGCTGCACGAGAGGTTAGTAATTATTATAATCTTTCCACAAGAACATCTTGAATGTATTAGAGAAAAATATGTGTTCATCCTATATTATTATTCAAACTTCTTGTTCACTTAAAGAGCACAATTTAAAATAGAAAGAAAGCTAAAGATGAATTGTGTTTAATGTAGTCTAACACTTAGTTCTGTAATTGCTACATTTTGTATTAATGCCCTATGAAATATGTTATACACAGTTCAGAATCTGTGAAAAGTTTCTCAACATGTTTGATATTTATTATTATAATAAATGTAAGTCTGATATTGTGAAATATGTTACCTATAGTCCAGAATTCATAAAAAGTTTCTCAACATGTTTAATATCTTTTATAGTAACAAACATAAATCTGATATGGTGAAATATGTTACCTATAGTCCAGAATTCATAAAAAGTTTCTCAACATGTTTAATATGTATTATAGAAAAATAAATCTGATTCAATTAGTTACTTGTATTATATACAAAACAGGTTCTTCATGCCCTGGGCCATATTTCTTACTCAAGTATTTGGAAGGAGGAACCAGAGATCAAGGTAACTTATCTTCATAGGCATATTATGCTGATATGATAATGTTAAAATATTTTGTCTTCTTATAATTGACAGATTATTTATATAATATAGAATCCTCTGAGGGTAGTTATACATCAAACATATAAAGAAAGTCATTATTGCCTTAAAATCTCTCATATAAATATTATTGTAAGCAGTGTATGTTTCTTAATATAAACATTTGTTATTAATTGGAAGGTTTGATGTTGTGAAGATAGGGCTTAACATCTATATTTTTTTTAAGTTTATGAAATTATTTGGATCATGTAATCATGGAGTTAGACTGGAGCAGATGATGATTGATTCTATAATTAAATTATATTGATTCAGAATTAGCTGAATTGAGTTTAAGTTTATTAATCAGTTACTTGATTTAGTGCTGTGATTTTTTAGTTTGTGTTTTCAAGAAGTACTAGGGATATAAGAATTAGCAAGTAAGTGAAATTGTTGTAATAGCAATTATTGTAGACTTATGCTTATCAGTGGGCATTAGTTAAGCTAAGTTGCAGTCAAATAAATTATTATTAAGTTTAATGGACTTCATATTCTTATTTTCTTTGAATAATTCAAAAGAATCCATCCAACAACATAAATTTCTTACAACAATATATTACATGACTAGATTCAGTTTGAGTCCCACATCAGATGATGGTTAAGTGAAGACTTATTTTATTGTTAAAAAGAAAGCTGAGATCAGTGCCAAATAAGAACAATACTAATACCAATTAAGAGGAGTACAGTTTTAAAACATGTTATGATATATATTTTTTGTGAGGTATATTTTCAGTGTTTTAATTTAGGTTTTAACTAGTGATGATTGAGAGAGACTGCAAAATATCAAGAAACAAGGATACATTTATAAATACAAGTAACCAGTTAGTTAGTCATAGAGAGTGCCTGTCATTCAATGAAATATTTAGTTTCAGTTCCTTCAATGATTGGGATGTTAGTGAATTATTCAAATCAGTGTTAATTATTATGTACATTCACTTACTTTATTTGTGAAAATGTGCAAGTAAGTTTATATGTACATTTCTCATTAGTTAGTAAATTTGTTTTGAAAGTGAAAAGCTATTTGTTAACTTAGGACTACAAGTACAACCATGTACAAGTAATAGGAGCTTGTAGCAAACATTTAGAAAAAATATACTAATTTGTAATTGGACTGGACTACGTATTATTTTCACCAAATAATTTAATTAAAAGAACCCATCCAATGATAGAGTTCACTATAACAATATAAACAAGTTGGAAATGTATTTGACTTATTACAAAACTTGTGTTAATCATACTTAATTCACCAACATCTGTGTTAGTCTTATCATAAGAATTTTAGTAATATTTATATTTTAAACACCAATTATATCTTTCTGTCTAACAAGGATTCCATTAACCGAAATTATTACATTTTTAGGCCTAAGGTTTTCATTTCAATAAGTAGAATTCCTTGTAATGCAAAAATAAAAACTTTGTTTCTAATGAAGGAAAAAATTACTTAAATTCATATGTTTAGATTAATCAGGATGTTGATCGATTACATATTTTTAATGCAATTTTTATAATACAGTAAATAATTAAGTAACAAGTATTGTTAATGTTTCAAATATGTAGTTCACATAACAAACTCAAGTATTGTTTTTAAGAGGTGTTAGTGTTTTTTTTTATAACATCTCATAATTTTCTTGTGCATTATTCAAAATTTAAGAACTTTCCACAATTAGAGAATTAATTGCCCCCTGGTGTAGGTATGAGGCCAAAACTAATAATGTATATGTGTGTGAGGTTGTTTTTTAGAGTACTAAAGCATTTTTTATTTGTTTCATAACTTCAAAATAATTAAGTAGCTTTAAATTCTCAGGTACTAATGGAATACTGCTAATACAACATTAACATCTGATATTTATTTTGTCTCTTTGTCAACAGGAGGTGCCAGCGAAACCATTCCAATTATCATTTATTGAACGCCATCCTCCATCTTTCAGAACTATCATAAGTTTTATTGGCCTTTCAACTGTTGGTTGTATTAGTGCAACATGTTTTTTACTGTATAGATATCTATATAAGCCATGAACTGTTGATACTCCTACTTTGCTCTAACACTGTTCTGTGTATATCTTGGGTGCTTTTTGACCTCTCAACTGCTAATGCTGCTGAATATCTATATAAGTCATGAAATGTTGATGGTTTAATCTCATGATCTTACCTGGTTCTAACACTGCACTTTGTATATCTTGGTTGCTTCTTGACCTCTCAAGTATTAAAGGAGTTCTTTTTCTTAATATTGTACATTATAAAGGAAAGTCATTTTGTTCCAAAAGCTGTATTATTTCTAATTCTGTTTGACATATTTGATAAAACAGTGAACTTGTGCAAATTCAAACCTATTTATATTAAAAAAGAATTTCATTAGGATTTTAAAACTGAGTTGAAACCAGGGACAGTTGTACAATTTTAACCATAGGAACAGAGAACATGTAGTTCAATTGTTAAGTGCTGTACTTGTTTAATTGTAACCATAGAAACAGATCTGAAATTTGAATTATAGAACAGCTGTACCTGTATGATTGTAACCATAGAAACAGAGACAATTTAAAATTAAGACATCTGATTGTTACAAATAATACAAACAAAAACTTTAACTGAAATTTGGAGCAGTTGTGACAGTTTCAAGTATTTATTTCTACCAGAGGTAAGTAAGTTTAATAAGCATGTAAGAAATTTGTTTCACATAAATGACATAGACTGGATGTTTTAGACTTTACTACATAAAATTCGATAAACTTATCACTATAACTTAAGTAAATTTAAGGCTCACTTTAAATAAATAATTATGGCAGGTTTATAGATAATTGAAGCATGCAGATGAAATCTTTCTAAGAATATACAAGAAAAATAATAACTTGCACACTTCTGTAGACTTGTGGAAAATGTACCAAACTTCACAGTTGTACACAAGAAAGATAATAACTTACACACATCTGGAGACTTGTGGAAAATGTACCAAACTTCACAGCTGTACACAAGAAAGATAATAACTTACACACATCTGGAGACTTGTGGAAAATGTACCAAACTTCACAGCTGTACACAAGAAAGATAATAACTTACACACATCTGGAGACTTGTGGAAAATGTACCAAACTTCACAGCTGTACACAAGAAAGTTGATATCTTACACACATCTAAGGGCTTGTGGTTTTGCAACTGCTTAGAAGAAAGATAATAACTTACATCTAAACACTCGTTGGAACAGTGAACTTTATTTATTTTAAACATACAACCAACTGGTGACAAAATAATTGTTTAGGTAGAATAATATTTTCATTGCCACTGAAATAATGTGCATCTCTTGGATTGATCAAACAAAATTCACTTTATTATAAGATCTCTTTTAATTTTCAGTGTAAAATGTCAATATTTGTATTTAATATACAGAAAACAAATGTTACAGGAAATAACTTCCAATTGTTATATGTCTGCGGACTTACAATGCTCTAATCCGGGTTTTCGATACCCGTGGTGGGCAGAGCACAGATAGCCCATTGTATAGCTTTGTACATAATTACAAACAAACCAATTGTTATGCTTTATTTTTTTACCATTCTTGTAGATCTAAACTTGTACACTTTTTATGAACTACAAATATAAAAACTATGTCTTTAATTCACTTGTACACATGATGATAGTCATGTAGCAGTTCCAATCTTTCATTGAAACATATCTTCGTAAAACTGGTAGCAGACTTGTTTTCACCAAAGTAACGTAATAACAGCAAGTTACATTCAAGGTTTAGCAGAGTTTTGTTTAATAGAACCACTAGAAGCAACACTGGAATCCCCCAAAACCTGCATAACTCAGTGTCAAGTAGTGAATTTAATAATAAATTGAGCTTCAAATATATTTTTAGAATTTTTATTAACTTTTCTTTTGAGAAATTCAGAAGAATAAGCTAGTCACATCAATGCTACATATTCTTCAAATGATATAGATTCCTGTGATTATTAAAAGACAACTCGAATTACCATTATCTTATCTTTCCATGAAAATCTACCATTAAAACAATCTCTCATGATTATTAATGAAAATAACAGATTTTCCAATAATATCTTACAAGTCAATAGTCACATTTAACTTCATTTTGCAAAGTTTTAGCATCAGCTTCAAATTCTTTATTTCTATTCACATGTGTCTTATTCATTGTGTTTATATTATGTAAATGATTTATTCGTGTATAATACACACTCATGAATGACTTCATTTAATGTTTCTACATACATGTAAAACTAAAAAAATGTATTTCTTCATACATCTATCATAAACATATACGTATATTTCCATAACATATTGTTGCATACACTAATAACTTTCCATATACTGCCTCTGGCTCCCACTCAAATAAGTATTACACCTACTGGCACCAGCCATCTTAAACTGTATATTTTAATCAAGCAGCTATCATCCGATATAAGATTAATATTTTTTAAAGAAAAACTCTGTTTGATAGTGCAGAAAGTAAGGGCCACAAAGCCATTTTGGTCCCATTAATCTTGTGATCATTAAGCCGTTCTAACTTCAGATGAGCAAGTGATAATTATAGAATGTATAGCATTGTACCTTACAATAACACTTGATAGCTTGGAAAATAAGGAATGCTATTTCATTTCAGTCATTGGTTTCTTGACCAAATGACTGCCCTAACTCTCTCTGAGTTCAAACCTAGCCATATCGATTAAGAAGTTATGATTGGTGGTTTTGTAAACTGTCAGCTGCATCATACTTTTAGATCTGGTACTTCCTCGTCTGACTTATCCTGAACTGCCAGTTAAGTACTCTCAACTCATGCCTTCTCATATTCAGGGTTCTAGTGAGATAAAATGGTGATTTCATCTTCGTCTGACTCGGTTACCTCTATTCTGACTCTTGATCAAGCCTGTTCACCAGAGGTTCATTGATCACATACGTATTCAGCTGATCGATGTGTACTATGTGCTTTTCATGCACACCTTGATCGACATAACTCGTACATTAATAGATTGCCTTGTCAGATCATAAGATGAGGTCCTGTCAAACCAGAGCTAAGAGGCTTCCATGTTACTGCCATATACCAAGACCCTACCCAGTGTTCACTTTAGTACATTTTTTTCTACTAGTGTTTTATCATAGCACCTCTTCTGTTATACAAACATCTTAACTCGATTGTGGTCAGGACAATCACCATTGAACATTAGTACAAGTGCACACAACATCTTAGCATCCTCCAGCCTTTCTGTTATTGAAAGTCAGAAGAATCTCATGCTTTGAATAATTAGGAACCACTAGTTGAAACACACAGTGAAAATAATGGTACATCATACCTTCCTTCTCATAAAAGTGTCATAGCTTATGAGCATCCATGCTATGTTCTCAATCTGAGCCAGATGGGCTTTATCTTGCCATGTACTAGTGTACATACTAGAACTAAGTCCTTAATGTGCTCTTCTAGAAGCTCCCAAAGTGTTGATTGTGGCATTTTTACATTAGTGGAATCTCATACTATATGACTTGTTATCGTTATAATAGGAATGGTCTTCGCTCCCACACACTGTCCAGGATCCAGACATTTAACAAATGCACAGTGTCTCATGTCTGGTGAGATAATCCATCTATATTTCCATGTTATGGACCTGGGTGATAATGTATGATTAAAGCATACTTCTGTTATCCAGCATACCATCAACCACTTCAGAAATGCATGATCCACTTGAACAATGATTTTTCTACCATAGAAGTAATACTGAAAGTGTTTTATGAAGATAACAACTACAAGCAATCTCTTCTTCTTCATATGGGATCTGCATTCAGGAGCCATATGCATGTAACTAGTATATGCAATTACATGTTTTATTCCATCCTATAACACTGCTCCAATTTACAATAACTGGCATTGGTATAAAACAAGAATTCACAATCCTTTTATGGATATGCCAACACAGGGACTTCTACTAAAGTGCTTTTAAAGGTGTGTCTTTGTCTTATTAAAATATGATGATGAGCCAGTTTTCGAGAAACAGGTCATACAATGCAAAACTAAAGAAACTTTTTGCACTTTTTGTTTGGTCACAAGATTGGACCTGTTTTGCACTGATGCTATTTTAGCAGGATGGATGGAGATTCCTCCTATATCTATTAACAAGAAATTCCATTTTCAGGTACAAGAATGCACATTTTCTAGGTTTAAGTTTCAACTCTGCTTCTTTTTATTCATTGAAGTAAAATTTTCAGGTCTCAGCCGCATACTTAAATGCTTTATTAAACACCAAGACATCGGCACTATAGATTAGGCACTTTTTTCATTGAAGCCTTTCACTGTAAGCTCTATTAACTTCTCAAAAGTGGCAGATGCATTAAACAGCATGACACGAAACTCATACAAGCCACCTCTTCTGCCCTTGTCATCCAGAAGCCAGGTCTAACATACTGAACCTGACATTTATTTTTCATGTAATGAAAAGTCGTCAGTGTGAGACCACACTCACCTATCTAAAGTCAATGGAGAACCTGATCATACCTGCCTTCTTTCTGATAATCACTACTGAAAATGACCAAGTGCTCTCTGAAGGCTGTTTGCTTCTGTAATATAACACCAATGTATTTAAGTGCTGATTACACTCTTGTGCTCCAGGGAAGCCTGCACAGTGGTTGTTTAATTGGGCATGTCTCTCCAGTGTCTATGTAATGTTGTCTACCTGTAATTTGAGTTGCTGCTACATTGAGTTTAGGTTGTCTGCACAATCCTTAATTAGGAATCTCATATGTGTTGTTATCCATGTTTTTACTTTCAGGCATTGTGTGGTAGACACAGCCCTAGCATTACTATTATCTTTGGTTACTTACAATTCTTATTTCTTTCTGAAGACCATTCCAGTGTGCAGCTGGATAACCTATCATCCATAATTGCAGAACATCACTGGTACTTCACTTCCCCTTGGACAGATAACTGCCAAAGATAATGCTGTTTGCTTTCTGAACAGAAACTTTTTCATGCATAGGCTCAATTAACCACTTTAGACAGCACTGACACACTAGATGTTATTTATAACAAACCATGAAACATCACTTGTGTACATGGGGGTACTGTAACTTCCTCTCTCACGTGCATTCCACTGTTCTTGAGTTTATCTGACTGACAGGTGATAACTCTACTGCAGAGAATCAGTTCACCCATTACACAAGTCACCTAATGTTTCACAGGCAGAGACATTGGTGGCACTATGGGAGTATCAGAATAGTCCTGCCAATTTACCAGTGGCGTAGCAAGAGGAGGCAGTTGCCCCCGAGCGCAGGTGTGAAGGGGCGCAAAATTTCCTCTGGCCTATAATGCC